TTTTTAAAATATCGGGTTTTCACTCGCACGCACGCGCCAGTTGATGCTTGACCATATTTTATAGCCCGATCGATAGTGTGAAATAGTGTAGAAATAGTGTTTTGAATTCTGGTTTCAATAATACTATTACGAAAAAGATATGTCCAAACGGGCCGAAGTTTATATGTTCGGCGAAATGTATGGCTAGTTTACATTTACATTGTTCCTTATATTATGAAATATGATACCATACCTTATTTGTATTAAAATTCGCGTCGAACTAATGTTATTGTATTATAAAGCAAATGAGAACCATACAATAAATGTTTTAGTCCTTGTTGGTATTTTCAACGCACCGCTTTATCTTTACTGTAGCGCACAAAGCTCTTTTCGCGAATTATATTTCGCGCAGTACTACAGTACTACAATTTGCGCACCCAGCGCTACACGAATTATAGTACTGCGCGAATTTTAATACATGTACGTAAGATATATTGTCGACATTTGGCTAAAACTATCGTAAGGAATTAGGAGATTTTGTTCAATTAAAACTACGTTGTGTAGTCAAATTGTCAACCTTAACTTGTCCTTGTATTGTCAACCATAACTTGTCCTTGTTCATATTCCAATATATTGTATAAATTCGCTGGGTCCAAATTTTGGGGGTTTCGAGTCGTTTAATACAAAAAGAAAAACATTAATTCAACACGTAAGAAAGTCCAGAGTGCGACACAAAAATGAACACAAGTACACAACGGATGTTTATGAGTCTACAACGTATATTTATAGTTGTTTATTAAAGTCAAACTGTCAAACCTTTAACTTGTCCTTGTTAATTGTATTCCACTATATTCTATTAGAATAGGGAGATAAGGACTCAGGAGGTCTAAAACTGGTAATTGTGCGCGTGCGTACAAGTGTATGCGCTAATAAAGAAAGATGTACCACAAGCATGGCATGAGCCGGCTACTACGTACATAGATACGAGCTTGTTACGATGAAAAGTAAATCAAGCAGTCGAGGAATCGATGGCATTTGAACCGATGGCATTTTGGCTTAATCGTTGCACCTTGAGCCTGCGATGCGCTAACGCAAACTCCATTTCTCGACGAAAAAAAACCAGAAAAGGGGGGATTTAAAACACTTGATCTTTCAGGTCAGTGTAAAGAGCGCTGACCAGCAGCTGTCAGATAAAATGGGATATCTAATTCATCCATTTGTCTTGTCGCCCGACCATGTGTCTGAGATCTAGATGTGAATCTTCTTGCAAGGTATGCATGGTGGTGCTAATCCTTTAAGACACTTATAAGCCATAACAGTATCTTTATATTGCAGCAGGTACAGAAACAGGTAGCTGTTTAGTTGTTGTAGCGCGGGTGTAATATGATCATACTTTCTCGTGCCTGTGACAATTCGTGCAGCAAAATTCTGCACAGTTTGTAGTTTGGCAATATTTTTCTTAGACGTATTTGGCCACACAGATGAACAATAATAAAGTTTGCTGAAGACCAAGGCGTTTATGATCACAATCAAGGTGCGGCTGTCTAGAATATGTTTAACTCGATTAAACTACTTTGCTAATTCTGGCAAAGAGAATTTGTACATTTTGAGACCACGTGGGTAATATGCTCATCATAGCTCAGACATTCATCAGATTCCATTCCTAAATCTCGGGCTGAAGATACCGGTCGTAGTTCCTTTTCAAGGAAAGTCACTCGAAAGTCTTGCACATGATTGAGCATATGTGTTGTACAAAACAGAAGAAGTTTAGTCTTTTCGGGATTGGTAAGTAGGCTATTTGAGCAACACCAGGCAGCGATTCTCCTCAGATCGTCTGTAAGTTGAATTTCAGCAACATTAATGTCTTTGTATGAGAATGACAAGTAAATCTTAGAGTCATCTATACATACGATTCTAAAGGACATATAATGGGAGTAGTTGGAAGATCGTTTATATAAATACTAAATAACGCTGGACCAAGTATTGAACCTTGAGGCACACCATGTGTTATCGCACGAGCTTCTGATAGTATATGACCAATCCTCACAGACTGAGTTCTGTCTGAGAGGTAACTCTTAAGCCAATCCACAGCTTTCTAGACACGCCCATCGAATGCAGTTTTTTGAATAGCAACGAATGTTCAATGCTATCGAACGCTTTCGACAAGTCTAATAACACAACTGCAGTCAATTGGCTTTCCTGTCCATGGCATCAAGAATCATATCCGAAACAAGTATATTAAGTGTCTCTGTTGAATGCATCTTTTTGTTTGCACTATGATGTTTGGTGAGACGTACACCCTTTCTGAGACATATATTCCATCAATTGATTGAGTGCAGCCCGTTCACAGATCTTAGAGGCCACAGTAAGCAGGACACGGATTGTTAGGTATTTCGTAATCCCCCTCCTTTAAAATTGGGATAGCCACCAATTTCTTCCAAGCTAATGGAAACACCGCAGTTAATAAGGAACGGTTTACAATCTCGGTTAGGGTTGGAAGAATTATAGGTAGAGCATCCTGTATAACAGAGACAGAAACTTTGTCCACGCCTGGTGCCTTATATGATGGAAATGAATTCACGATCTTACGTATTTCATAAGATGATACAGGGCGAAAGTTAAACTCATCAATGTTGTTATTTAAGGTGACAGAACATCTTTGAGTGTTACTTTTGCCTAAAATTTTTTTATTGGTTTCCATGAAAGCATTAGACTAGTTCTACTATCTGACCAAGTTTGGACGAAAAATGTTGAAAACTCGCAGAGTTATTCAGAATAAAATACATTTCGTTTGCAATAAGAAAAACATTGAAAATGTATAATATTCAAATTCAATTTTCTCGCGAAGAATTTTAAGGCAATTACTGATTTTTAAACGAGTTGTGCTCCTGCGGGTTTTAACGAATTGTTCTCAAATTTTCACAGGACATAGCTAAAGACGTCAGTTTCAAAATTGTGTTCGGCTTTGTTCTAATTTTGGATATTTTAATAATAAGGAGCAATTCACACAAACGATTCAGAAATATATTGCAGTCGTCAAAGAAATCGCCATATCAGCGGAATGACGAAATAAACAAAAATTTCCGAACACAATTTTTTAGGGACCGGTCATTATTTATGGCGGGGGGTGGCACCGAAGAGAAAAGGGTTGGGTAAACTAAATTTTGAGTAACTAAAAGGTTGGGTAAATGAAAAACAAAACAACTCAAGGGTTGGGTAATAAAAAGTTATTGTCATTTCCAAAGCATGACTCACTTAAATATTGGAGACTGAAAAGCAATGTCAACAGTCGTATGTCAATACAATATGTAAATCAATCAATCAGAGTCACTATCTTGATCATTTTCCGATTTGTTGGGAGACAAATGGTGTCTCCAAAGAAAGTACATGTACATACAACATGAAAGTTTAGTTATCGGCAAACTTGTGTCACAGAAGTGGTAAAGGACATGTGTGACAACTGAATGGTATTCTTTTGTAAAGGTTTTGGCCAGGGGTGGGTATTTATTTTTTAATTGATATTTGAGGTTGGGTAATCAAATTTTTTGCTTTTTAATGTTTGGGTCAGCAAAATTTTTACCAGGAAAAACATTTCTCTTCGGTGCCACCCCCCCACCATAAATAATGACCGGTCCCTTAGAACAACTATTTTACTGTACCGGGTGTCCCAAAAAAAAGTACTCCGGTTTGATTCTTAATAACTTCTAAACAACTAAAGCTATCAAACAGAAATAACTAGCATTAAATAGAGGAAGGACTAACTTAGATTTTGATATATAACAGTTGTATTTTACTTAAAAATTCACGGAAATATTAATGTTCAAAATCGGGAGCATATTTTGGGATGTGTCTAAAATTAGCGAAAAACGGCATATCAAATATTAATTCCAGCGTTTGTTTGCTTAATGACATATCAGGCTATTATAAACTTGTATTTCAGCGAATTGTCGTTAGGGTTTATAAGGGATATGGCGTAGATTTACACATCTTACATGTAAGTCTTAGCTCATTGTTTCCTGAAATATGAACGTTCGAAATTATGCGGGTATTTAATAGGTCTTTACAAACTTAAAGGTACATGCATGAAAGCGGACGATGCAAGTTAAATTTTTCTTAAATATAGCCTAATTTTTTTATGTTTTTCATGGGTTCAAAACAAAGTTGATTATATTTCTCGGTTAGAGCAGGATAAATATTATTCTTTACTGAATTAGGAAATAATATTGCTTTTTGCAAATACACATCACAGAATCAACGCTACTATTTTGTTACGTTTTGTTCCAAAAATGTTGGATGTCTCTGGGGAGTTGCTCGATATGTCTTATGGAGTTGTATGGTTTGATTGTGTTTTATTCTCGGTTTATTCTGAACTTGCCAAGATTAAGAAAAAGCAAAAGAGTTTGGGTGTTCTTAACAAGATTTCGAAACGTTGCAAAAGTTAGAAGAGCTTCACAATTCCATTGTGACAGCATGCCCTAATTCAGAACTACGAACGATCCATGACGATCATTCGCGATACAGTGAGTGGCCTCATGAAATAAGGAAACGTATTCGTGCTAGCAACGTGCACACGCGGATTTCGGACGAATAAATCTTTCTTGTATTTTGTAAGTAATAATACTTTGTTTCATAATAAACAATTTGTCAGGTGTCATTTATTTACTGGTAATAGTGCATGTTTTAGTCGGGCAAATCTTGATTTTAATATTTGATACGCCGTTTTTTGCATATTTCAGACACATCCAGAAATATGCTCCCGAATTTAAACATTAATATCTCCGTTAATTTTTACGTGAAATACAACTGTAATATATCACAATCTAAGTTAGTCCTTCCTCTATTTGATGCAAGTTATTTCTCTTTAAAAGCTTTACTTGTTTAGAAGTTATTACGAATCAAACAGGAGTACTTTTTTTTGGGACACCCGGTATTAGAGGAGATATTCAGTTGTTTTAATCATAAAATGGATTTCTATTTGACAACTAGTGCCAGTACTTTTCCGCGTATCAAGATCATCTGGTAGTTCAATTGTCCTCTTCTTCCTCTAACTGCAACCGTATTCTCTACTCCGCTTCCTTTGCCGCGTTTCTTTGGACTCGTTGATTCTTAGAGACCGTTTTGTTCTGCTTTTCCTCCACGACACTTTCTACAATTTTAATTTCCAATGGACAGACAAATTATAAAGGCCGCTCGATCGATTCTTCGACCGTTATGACCCAAAACGACGCCCCGTACAACACCGTCCTTGCCATTTACTAAGCGTAATACTCGACCTTTCTTCCATTCGCCACCATTCTTTTAATCACCCACGATCAAGAGTATCGACGTCTGATAGACTCCCGCCCTTCGGTTTTGTCTGATGCGTTTCCGTTAAAGCATGAATATACTCCCTTTTCCAGCGTTGCCATGCGTGTTGCTTTGCGTTAATCAACCGCCTGTTCATCGCTGTTAACTCGTCCGTATCTGTTTCCAGTTCCTCGAGTGGGTATGCATTTCCTCCCGACATAATAACATTTGGCGTTCGCACTTTCGACTCTGTCTCGCCCTCCACGTACATCAACGGCCGATTATTCAAATTCTTCTCAATATCCATTACCACTTGCTCCATCCCCTCAAATGACAAGTGAGATTTCCCCAGTGTTTTATATAAAGTTTTCTTGACTTCGTTAATAAGCCTTTCGTAGAAACCTCCCCAACATGGGGATTTCGCAATATTGAATTGCCACCTGATTTCTTCGTTTGCAAGAAAGTTTTGCATTTTCTCGCTCTTCCTTATAATCTTCACCCATTCAGCTGTAACTTTGAAAGTTTTCGCGTTGTCCGATATTATCATACGCGGTCTCGTTCTACGGGTAATGAAAGCATTGAGTTTCAAATCTTGTAGCCGTTTGATCTTTCGTTACTTACCGCTCTTGAGGCTGCGCACGTAAATATTAAGACATAGCATTTTCCGTCTTCTTTCTTAGTAATGTTATAGTACAGCAGTCCTGCAAAGTCCACGCCGGTCACTTCAAATGGTCGGTCACCTTCCGTTCTAAAACTTGGCATTTTAAAACTTGGCTGTGATGGGGCTTCTTGAAACGGTTTTGCCGAATATAAATTGCAAACGTTACACTTGTTGATGACTTTCTTCACTTTCTCAGGTAACTTTGGAATCCACCACGTTTCTGGAGTTGCCATTGTATTTGAAACACCGAGATGCATGATCTGATTGTGGACATGAGTAATAAGCCTGTTCTCAAACGCTCCTCCCCCAAGATATATTGGCTGATAATTCGTTACTCGTCCTTCGCATTTGAGTATCCCGGTGTCCCGCTCTTCTACCTACCGGGAATTTTAAAGAG